CTCCAACAGTTCTTTGTGCCGCCTTCACCACTCTTTGCAGAGCTCTCCTGTCTGCAACAGAGCAGCTGCCGTACCACACGTTTATGCTGGAGCACAGCACGCTCTCCACCACACATCTGTAAAAGGAGGTGAGGACTGAGCTCTGTTTTCTGGAGCTCAGTTTCAAACCCAACAGAGAACGCCTCCTAACTTCAAACCAGCGTCCTGGCGCCGGAGGTGTGCGAGCTCCAGTTCACAATTGCCGATCTGAAACACCTCTAATGCTTTTATTCCATAATCATCCATCACAAACAGAACATTGGTTCCAGACAGTGGAAATATTTTTTAATGAAGCTCTGCAGCTGCTCACTGATTAAGCAGATGCGTGGGTGTCTGCAACTTTGAGCGTGTATGTGTTTGCAGTGTTACCACAGATATGTTAGGGACTTGAAAATTAGAAATAATTGGCTGCTGTGGGCTGGGAAGTAATTAGGTGGGTTCTCTCTTTAGCTGCTGCGACTCATATTTGACTTTGAATCCAGATTTATTTCTAAAGTCCAACTAAACATGCCGATCTTCTCCTTGTGTTATTATTATTATCATTATTATTATTATTATTCACTTCTTTTTTGTTCTTATTACATCTTCCTCTAATCTGCAATAATAAAAGTATCTCACTCTTTCACTTTATGTAAAACATCAAAAAGGTTCTTTAAAATGCTAGCTGCCACAAATGGATTTTGAAGAGTCAATAAAAAGAGAATCTGTGCCAGTGTGTACTCATCTAAAAGACTTTGAAAACAATGTTTTCATGTTGAGCATCTGCACATATTAACAGTTTTCAGCTAACTTAACTTCAAAGGTAAAAGATTTCATTGCTATGCATCAATCTGCTGCTGCAAAAATAAAAATAAAAACTTCTTGTTGGAGCTTCAGATCGTATTTTATCATCCACGTCGGCATTCGTGTCCTGGTTTGCATGTCTCTGCAGCACCGCGTCCTACCTGGTTGTAGCTGTGCACGGCGCCTCCGACCTGCCCGCCGCGCTGAGGAGCTGCTGCAGAGATGCTGTCGCTGAGGGCGAGGGTCTGGTTGCTATGGTAGCTGGCAGAGTACTGGAGCGAAGCCTCCGGGGTGGAGTTGAGCTGCAAAGAACTCTGGGAAAGGAGAGCCGGTCCTACCAGTCGAGACAGGAGTGGTGTGTGGTTGGATAGGAGTGATGGGTGGTGGGTTTAGCARAAAGAGAGTGAGAGATTCGGAGTGAGAAAGAGAGAGGGGGTGTGAAGGAGAGAGATCGAGAGGCAAAGAGTGAAATGTGGGGGAAAAAAGGGAGAGCAGCAGTTTAGAGCAGATAGTGCAGCAGTGCAGCACTCTGTGAGTTGGAGATGGCATACATAATTTATTAGCAGAGGAAGAGAGAAACAGAGGAACAGAGAGAAGAGGAGGAGGAGGAGCGGGGGAGAGGTGGAAGGGAGGAGGGAGCCTAAGAAGAAAAGTTGGAGTAGATCTAACAACTTAAACTTTACCTCTCTGCGCACACAGTGTTTTACTTTGTTTAAACTAAATTTCACTTKTCTATTAATAAAAAACAGATAAATCATGAATAAATCATTTAGCTTCCATTTATTTGGTTAGTTGCTGATGAGCACTGCAGAATAATGGAATATGGCCTAATAAATGTTTCCCTTCTAGACACTAATAGTTGTCTCCTACTAAATGTAATGTACTGTAGCAGCAAATCATCTGTCACACACTGGTTTCTGTGCTGTGCACAAAAGCTTGTATTGATTGGGAATAAAAACATCATGAGGCAGTTTTTAATCTAAACTAGATTCTAAAATGTCTGTTGTGACAAGGTAAACCTGAGGAAAAAAATTCTTGCAGCTTTTATTGTTTTATGTGTCTAAGTAAAATATGTTGTGTCCCATTCGCATGGGATAAGCATTATCTGGGGACCCCGTGTATTAAATAAATTACTCTCCGACTTCTGTTTTTTTATGTTGCATATTCACACGGGATAACTGAAGCCTGAGATTTTGCTGAGGTTTACAGACATCTTCCGGATATGATAATTTCGCAAAGGCTGGTGTGCACCGCGCACCATTCAGTTTGTTTGTTCATCAAGCTTTGCTCTTTACTCCATCTTCTTCTGCTTATCCATAGTCGGGTCGCGGAGGCAACAGGTCCAGGAGAGAAACCCAGACCTCCCTCTCCCCAGAAACACTTTTCAGCTCGTCCTGGGGGACCCCAAGGTGTTCCCAGGCTAGAGAGGATACATACAGTGGTTTGCAAAAGTATTCATACCCCTTGAACTTTTCCATATTTTGTCACATTACAACCACAAACATAAATATATTTCACT